CTTTTTCCACCCTTCTTGATTGTCATTCACCCCCCCTTATCCTTACTTTGTGTTTCTTTCCTTGGTACACCAGTGAGTCACTACTCATAAATACGAGGGATAATTCTCAGCTCCTCCCTGCTTAGCAAGGTGCCAAAGCCTTCATTCATAAACATGAGATTAGAAATTCTTAGTTCAGTTATTTCAGATTACCCTCTCATTTTCTTTTGCTGAAGCACCTATATAAGAAAACACTAAGAGTTATCTACTCTAATTTTCAATTAACTATGTTTGTTTTTTTTCCTCTTCAACTGTTGCAATTTTGTATGTGTCATCATTCTTTTATAAGGAAAGCTAAAAATCTCAATAATTAGTGAAGCCTATCAAAATTTGATGATTGATTTTAATCTCTACAACTTTATGGGTAAGAAAGAAGAACATTATAGAATTATTAAATTTCAGAACTGGAAAGTATTTTTCAAAAATTAAAGTATTTTTAATTTTAAGTTTTAATAGACATAATTTTATATTTAAGGAAATTGAGGGTCAAAAGATGAATGAAATTCATGAGCACCTGTAGTAACTGTTTAGCAAGCTTAGCATGTTTTAAAATTTGCACAATAAGAGCTTTCATACTTTCTGACAGTTGGTTGTAATATTAAAGAAGAGACGTTTTTTAAACCACCAGAGAAGGATGAAATACCAACTGATTGTAATAAGAAAGAAATTAAAACACTTTAAAATGATTGGATTAGTGCATCTTTATGTTTAGCAAATAAGATGACTTAATGTGGAAATCTCTAAGATTAAGATGGGAGTAGAAGTTCAACGTTAGGGACACCATTTTAGATTTATTCTAAGTCACATCATTTGGTGATGTAATTCAGAATATTCCTGTGCTTAAGCAAGTTGTATTCCACCTCTCAACTTTGTGAAAGTACTAGAAAGCCTGCCTCCCTGGTTAGTTAGGCAAACCTGAGTCTGTATTCATGGAAGATGCTGGTGGAAGCCTGTATCTTGGTAATTTATGAGGAGGCAGTGTTGCCACACTGATGTGCCCTAAGGAAAATATCCAGCCTCAGAGCTGAATAAACTGTGTGGCAGTTGTGTGAGGACATAAGACGTCTCAGGCAAATCTCTGCTGGAGACTTGGTCAGCAAATTGGATTTTTGCCTCTTCTGAACTCTCTCTACCTTTATTCTGTTACTTTAAAAAGTTAAGGTTTTAAAATTTTAGCTTTAGCTGGGTGCTAGTGGCTCACACCTGTAACCCTAGCAACTTGGAAGGCTGAGATCTTGAGGTTCCAGGCCAACCTGGGCAAATAGTTTGAGAGACTCCCATCTCCAAAATAACCAAAGCTAAATGGGCTGGAAGTGTGTGGCTCAAGCAGTAGAGCACCTGCTTTGCAAGCGTGAGCCCTGAGTTCAAACCCCAGTCCCACCAAAAAAAAAAAAAAAAATTTTCTTTTCCAGGAAACTATTATTTTCTGGGAAAGGAAAGTTTTATTAATTTTTGTTTGTTTGGGAGTAATGGGGTTTAAATCAGAGCTTTGCACATGAGAGGCAGGTGCTCTGTTTCTTGAGCCACACCTCCGGGCTTTTTTGTGTTGGTTATTTTGGAGATATGGTCTTGGTTGACCTGCAGTGCAGTCCTCCTATTTTAAACTTACTGTGATCACTGGGACAGCAGGCTTGAACTCTTTTTGCCTGGACTGGCCTCAAATGGTGATTCTCCATATTTGAGCCTCCCAAGTAGCTAGGATTATAGAAGTGAGTCACTAGTGTCTGGCTTACTAAATTCTTAAGTTTCTTTTTTCATCTTTCTTATGTTTTACATTATAATTGGAGAACAAGGTTTGTACAGCTACCTACTCTAGAGACACAAGAGATGACGTGTTCTCTGTGTGATCACAATACTGTATATTTGCATAAAATTGAGATTGTTGATTGTTTCTTCAAATTCTATATGTAAGTCCTGCCAAATTCTGAAAATGTTGAAATACTCCACTGGGATCAGGTTTCCTCACGTTCTCTTTGTATTTCTAGAAGGTTTTACCTGGGGTACTTGGTGCTATATTGCTTGTTTATAAAAATTTCACTTAAAGAAATAAAATTAAAACTGAACAAATGGAGAGAGACACACTGTGCTACTGAATGGTCAGAATTACTATTATAAAGGGATAAGCCATTCTAATCAGAAACTCAACATTATTTTTGAAGGGGATCCTGGTTAAGATGATGATATATGTAAGAGTAAGTTGGTGAGAATAACCTTACAAAATCTTAAAAATTAAGATTAGTTTGGGTCAGGGAGCTTTCTTTATCATGTGTTAGAATTGTCATAATGCTAAAGTAATAAAAGTGGTGCATGATAAAAAAATAGAGAAATCAATTTACTAGAATAGAACAAATTCTAGTATTGTAACACCTTAGTGTATAACAATTTCTGAGATAAGGAATGTTTATTTAGTAAGTGGTATTAGCACAACTGACTATTTCAAAGAGAGCAAAATTATGGTTCTCCAGATGAAAGGTCTAAGTGAAAAATGCAATGATACTAGAAGAAATTTTAGGAAGCGATGTAATTTTGAGATTGCTAATACCTTCACAGACAAGGCAGGAAGTACAGAAAAAATAAAGGAAAATATTGACATACTTAACTGGATAAAAATTTTTAAATTCTGGCAGAATATACTATAAATTATATTGAAATACTTTGTCACACATTTGTCAGCCAAAGATTTGATAACCCTAATGTTTAGATAGAGGAGCAGACAATCCAATAGAAGAACAGACAGAATGTAAATAGGCATTCCACAGAAGAGAAATGTATATTGTCAAAACAAACTGAAACACTAAAGTGGTGTTCCACAGACGTAGGCTGGTAAGTAAAATCAAAATAGCAGCGAGAAAAAAGTCTTTTAAGTACTGGAATAGCAGGATTTAGGAGTCTAAGCACTTCAGGTGCCATGTAAGCCATACAGAAAAGGACCTCCTGGTACGTTTATGGGGGGGTGGGGATTGGCACAGTCCTTACTGGTTGTTCACATTCTCTGGTCTAGGTCTGTCCTAGGGAAATAAAATCACTAGTATTTACATGTACAAGGACATTTATTTTAGCATCATTTTTATAGCAAGAAATTGAAAAATATTCACAAGTCTAATAAGAAAGACTACACACATTATCATACATTGGTACTGAGCAATATTTGACATCTGTTCAAAGAATGCCTTTGGTTACATGTATTGATTAGGAAAAATCGTCATGATTAATTAGAAAAAGAATGAATTTCAGGAGCGTGAGTAGCATGCTCATGTTAAAAAAGTATGTCTTGTGTAGTTACAGGGAAAGACATGGGAGGATAGACACATGCCAACATGTCATCAGCTACTTAGGTGAATGTTATTTGTTTTTAAATGAAAACTCTGTACTTTTTTTTTTTAGAAAAGTTCAAAATATTAAAATTCATTTTTTAGAAGCCCTTAACCCTCTTGCCCTTCTAATGTCCACTCCCTTGCAATGAAGCCTGGGGTTAGCCTGTGTGCTTTTCTGTTGAGGATATAGGGTGCCTCCCTGGAGAGAGCCTGACCTTCATGCCTTGGCTAGTCTTACTTCCTTCCTACTTCCTTCATTGGTCCCCAGTGCTTCTTTAATCTGCCACTTCCTAGCCAACATCCTGGGTTTTGCCCCTTTATATTTCACTTGTCCCAATCCAGGGTGATAACATAGGAAGAAATCACACACTCTTCCAGTTAGGGCCCTCATAAAATCAGTGCTCACTAGCTGCAGGCGCTCCTGTAAAGATGGCTGAGCTACTTACTGACCTCACTTCTGAAAGGCAAGAGATATTTCAGACCTCCTCTGCCCTCAAACCTTTAATGCTGCTACCTTTTCTCTTAAACAGCAATGGCCACTCTTCCTGTTCTGTAGGGAAAAATGGAAAGGCCACAAACTACCTGTCATCAAACATGCAGTGTTCTTCCTCCTCTGCAAGGACTAGGGAGCAACCTGTGATAGGGACCCAGCCCTACCTGTCTCCTTCTGTGGTGGGGGAGGGGAGATGTGCTCACTGTATTGAACATCCTTGCTGTTGCCAGATTCCTCCACTGTTCCTCATTCAGGTGCATGTAGTACCTGTACCCTAAGTTCTCTGTGACCCTGTGGCCTCTCAGTTATGCACATATTTGTAGGTGGATAGAAAAAAGGAAGAATTTTGAGAAGAATAATGAAGAAAAAAGCAACATGAGCTAAGTCAAACAAGAAAACCTAAGATGAAAGAAATGATGGAACAAACGTAAAAAACAGCCTCAATTCCTATCCCCAGACTTGGAGGAAAGTAGCGACATATTTTACTCTTGAGCAAATGTGGTTTCGTAGCTGCAGCTATAAGCCTGCTTGTCATTCTTGGATACTTGTGTTATATGTTAGTTTTTGAAAACAAATGAAACATAGCATTTTATCTATAAACCAGAGGTATGTGTTCTGTAGAAAACTTGCTTGGGGTGGGGTTTGGGAAGTAGTGAATGAAGTCTAATGTTGCCAACATGCTTTGTGAATTTCTAAGTACAAGCAAGCTGTGTAGTGTCTTTTGGAGCCCTTCTCTGTACTTTTTACCCATCCCTTTCTTAATATCTATCATGCATCCTGAGGAAAATAGTTTGAGAAATGCTGAAGGGCACAAATAAATACATGGTACTGAAAAAAAAAAAAAAACCGAAAGAAAAATCAGGTTGCATGATACACAGTAACATGACTATTAAGAATTTTCTCTTCCCTTTCAGTTTGTTTGTTTTTCTGAGTGTACACAGATTAAAGGTGATTTTTAAACAATGGAATATATTTCAATTAGTGACGCTTGGTGAAACTATACTGTTTTGAAAATGAGCATAGGAGAATTCTAGTGTGTGACCAAAACAGTTTGCACTAGTGGAAAGTTACTGTGTTATGTTATTTTAAGCTATAATTAAGGATTGACCTGGATTTCTGATACATGAGTTACATTTCCTTACCCTCTTTTCTAGTGGCAGCCGACTAGGAGGCCTGGTTACAGTCTTATGCTTCTTTTTCAATCATGGAGAGGTAGGTAGTCAGAAAATATTTTCAGAATCACTCCTGGAAATATAGTTTCTTCTGTAAGCTTAATGTCTTTAAATTAAATCTGTAATAGCATTTTCAAATGTTCAGTCTTTTTATTTTAACCCCAAATTTAAATATTAGTGTTTGATTTAAGCTAACTTTTCAGGACTATGTCATGGCCATTGTATCTCCAATGCTATTTAATCATGACTGACTTGAGGAGATAGTGGGTCTGTAGCGATTCTTTACATAGTTGTAGAACTGTGAAAGGTGGTGTTTTAGGCATAGCATACTTTTAAGGTATCCTTTGCAAGACATTTTATTATACCTACAAATTTACAAGTGTCCAAGGGCTGTCTGAAGAGAACAGCATTGTGAAGTAGACATAGCCTGGTTCCAGATCCTCGCTCTGTAACCTGAGCAGGTCATTTAGTCCCTCTGTGCTTTGGTTTCCTGTTTACAAATGAGTATCTCTTAGAACTATTGTAAATATTAAATGAATTCAAATGTGCAGAGTGCCTGGAACAATGTTTGGAACATGATAAGTACTATTTAATTGTTAGCTTGAACTATTGTTTTGATTTATTATTTAGATTTATTAGTATTACTAAAAGTTTAGTTCAGATTAAATTCTAATACAAATTCAAAATGCCAATGAATTCCTTCTTCTAAATTAATCACAGCTGCAAATGCATTTCTGGTAATATATCTCTGTCCAAATTTCTTTCATGGAAAGATTTGTGTGAGGGGAGAAAGAAAAAGTCAGCTTGCTTTGTGTGAGGTGTCTTTATCTTTCTTATGTATATACACTGAATGTTTGCAATATTTGAATATGTTCATGTAATAAATCTCTTAAAAGTGAAAAGTCATACATGAACTTAATGTAGAATCAAAGATGAGCTTTTTTAAATCAGAGAGTTACTAATGGATATTCTAATATGCATTTAATATATAGAAGCACAGAAATAGAAAGCTAGTATGGCCTTGTAGATTAGAGCATTTGACAAATGACTGCTACATAACATCTGTTCCTTGGTGGAGCGCGAGTTCTGAGCTAAGAAAGAAAATGATTTGGTGTTTACTGACTGTGGGTGTTGCACATTGTGGTAGTGTGAACTGTGGAACATTTTGAAGCATAGATTCTGTGAGAATGACCTAAGAAATGGGAAATAACGGCTCAATAATGGAAGAAAGGAGCATTGTATGTTAACAATAAGATGTTGGAGGAAAGGGATTATTGAACATTTTGCAGCCAAGACAGTTAGAAAGAGCACTATTTTTTAAGCACAAAGGCCCCATTGTGTTAGCCTCAGTGTGTACTAAGGGCTTTAATTCCAGATCTTACGTCTTTCTACAGTTTTGATACTCATATTGCATGAGTATTTCTTACAAAGTCTTTTTTAGTTTTTGACAATGGAATTCAGTTGATTTTTGAGACTGATGGATTTTCTTTTATGATTTTTTGAATTGGTTTACTTACACATGTTAGACATTACTTTCTTAGGAAAAGGTTAACTAAATGTGATTAGAATTAGAATTTTGGTTTTACAGAAATAGCCAAATGAATTACTTTACTTACATGGAACTGTAGCTTTAGAGTAAAAAAGTGGCCTTTTTAACATACATTAAATTTGAAAGCACAAACTGCTCTTCTGAATAAACTGTTGGTGGGTGAGAACTCAAGTAATTGAAAGCTTATCATTTCATATGCATTTTGACTTTCAGATCATGAGGTTTTTCACACCTGTTTTTATCTTATTTTTAATTATGTTGCCTAAGTTATATAATCTTTATAGGAGGAGGAAACATCTACTCTGGTGACATCTATTCATGTATCTAGTGAATTTTCACAGAGTTTTGTTCACTGGAATTACTATTGTTTACTAATTGGTATCTCGTTTTCTTAGAAGAGATACTTTAAGCATGTGAGTAAATTATTTATGTGCTCCCCAAATTATTGTGAATTGTTACTTATTTTTAAGTTTTATTTCTGATATTTAGCTTTCATCTACTGGATCTAAGATGGCATATGGTGTGCTTTTTAAATTTCTCTTCACTCAGATGGTTTTACAAGAAAAAAATTTTCACTTAACAAAAGAACTGTGAAGTGTAGCATGAATAGATTAATCAAATTAACTTAAACTTAAAACCTTCAAATCTGAATCATGAAAATTCAGTAAAAGGGCTATAGTTCATAATAATCAACAATATTGATGTACATCCATAATACAATTATGCAAATGTCTTCACTTATCAAGCTTCATTAAAAGTTTATTCTGTCACTATTGAAAATTATTGTTAAGACGAAAGCAGACAGTTTGAAAATATGTACATAGGAAGAAATCCTTTACTTTTTTTTTTTTTTTTAATGTGCTCTTCTCCCTCCCTTCCTTGCCTTCTTCCTTTCTTTTCAGTGATAGTAAGGTTTTGGACACTTACTCTGGGTCCTCTGTTTATTAGCTCAGTTAAAATAACAGGCACTAAGTGCCTGCTATATGCTGGGTACCTCTTGATGCTTAGGATTTGCCAGTGAGTAAAACAAAGACCCCTGTCATGTGAAGACACTCTTTAGTGCTGGAGATCAACTTGCTGATTGGGCCATAGCAAGGTGGCCACTGTGGGAGCAGAGACAAGGCCAGATGTGAATGGGGGGAGGGACAGGAAGGAGTGGATTTTGTAGTCTATTAGGTTATGAGCAGTAGAGTGACATGACCTAAATTATTTTTTATATTAATTGGTAAATTCATGTAAGTGCATGACGTATTTATTGTTCATATCACAGATTGGTGTGTCTATAGATTTGTGAATTTATTAAACTTATAATTCTAAAAGTTCAAAGAGAGCATGTACTAGTTTAGCCTACAATATACAGAAAAATTGTCTACATCTTCTTTCATGACTTGCCCCTGCTGCCTATCTAGTTTTAGTTCACATCACTTCCCAGGCTGATGTTTTCCCCTTTTCTTTTTTTCTTCCCCCTCTCCAGCTCTGCTTGCCTTTCTTCCACTAGTTCTAGAAAGGCCCATTCCTTCTCCTTCCTCAGGGAAGCTTTTGCACATGCTCTTTCCCATGCCTTATGTACTTCTTTGGCCTGCTTTTCTCATCACCTGTGCCTAATTAACTTATAGTCACTTTTAACCACCAAACATTTCAGTTTGAGTTTCAGTGGTGTTCTTCATTTGTCCTGCATATCTGGGTTTACATAAGGCATAATTTCTCATCAGTTTAAAAAAATTTTATTTAGTATTGTGGTGAAGATCTGATTCCAACAAATTCTCTTAATATTTTTCTGCCTGAAAATGTCCTTATTTTCCCTTTATTTTTTAAAGTATATTTTTTGCTGGATGAGAATTCTAGGTAGACAGCTCTTCTTTGTATACATACTGCTTGAAGTTCACTGAACATCTTTGTTCCTTAAGATGAGTTTTAGAGAATTTTTAGTCACTGTCTTCTCTTCATGTATTTTGTCTTTCTCATTTCCTTTGGGAATTCTAATTGCAATGGGTCCCTCCTTTTTTTGATGTTGCTCCACAGGCTTAGACACTCTTTTTGACATTTTTTTTCACCTGTGCCTGCTTTTTAGTATTTTCTCTTGTGTCCAAGAGTTCACTGAATTCAGTCTGCTATTATGACTCTCTGGTAAATTTTTCTTCCTCTTTCTTTCCAATTTTAGAATTTCCATTTTGTTTTCCTTGTGGGGATTCCATTTCTCTGTTGAAGTTTCCCATCTGTTCATCCATTCTATCCATACTATTTTATAAAAATTTAAAGCAAATTATCAGTTATTTTAGTCATTGTCTTCCATTGGCAACATCTACATTAATGTGGATTTAATTCTACTGACTATGTTTTCCTCTTGAGTATAGAACATATTTTTCTGCTATTTTGCATTGTTTCAGAGCTTTCTATTCTATGCAACACATTTTTGTATAAAAATGATAAAGATTGAACTAGATATTTCTTTCCACCCCCTTTCCATAGAGGGAGCATCTTTTCCATTCAAGCATCTTAAGTGAGGGTCTGAGAATTTGGATTTCAGCATGAGTTCTGCTAAGAGGAGCAGGGCTGTAGTTTCAATTCATTTTAGTTTTCTTCTAGTTTAAAAGAGGTTAAAGACATCTCTTTGCCATTTGGCTCAGTGTCTAACTTCTGAGCTGCTCAGCTCAGGCTACAATCCCATCTATGCTACCAGTATTTGAACTGGGAGTGGGTTAGTTTTCAGTATTTTAGTTTTGATACATCTCTGGATTCAGCTCCCACAAGGCTCAGGAACCTAAGTACTATGTGAGACAACTTTCTATTTCTGCTCTTCCCCACTGCTTCTTACTCTGTCACCTTCCAGCTTGTGTCCTTAGAAGTCTGTTTTCTTTTGGTCCTAACAAAATCTCTGCTTATAGCAGGTCCACACCTCAATTAGAAGGATGCTGTGGTTTGAGCCTGTAACCTAGAACTTGGGAGGGGGAGGTAGGAAGATCTCAAGTTTGAGCCCTGCATAGCAAGTTCAAAGCCAACCTGAGCTACATAGTGAGACACTGTCTCAAAAAAACAAAGCAACAAAATAATTAGGCACTTGTTTCCAAGTGTGAAGGTATAGCCAAACATCTGCTTTATAACTTCATTTGGTCTCTATTTAGATGTTCCTTAAATCTTGCACTAAAAAGGCAGTGTAAGAAAAGTGCAGGCTGGGCATGGTGGATCATGCCTGTAATCCTCCCACTTGAGAGACTGTGAGGGAGGAGAATTGAGAGTTAGTCCAATCCCAAGATCAGCTTGGGCTATAGAATGAGACTCTGTCTCCAAAAAAAAAAAAAAAAAAAAAAAAAATGCACTTTCTGTACTTTGTCCCCTCCAGCTTTTTATTTTAAAAAAATTGAAATCTTACAGAAAAGTTCCAGTCTTGCTTTATTTACCAGTTTCAATATTTTGCCACATTTGCTCTCTTTCTGTTTTATGCATACACAGACATTTTCCTGCTCCATTTGAAAATCAGTTGCAGATGTGTTGATATCGTACCCCTAAACACCTTAGTATACTTTCCCTAAAATCAAGGACATTCCTCTGCATAATCACAATGTAGCTTTATTATACTCAAGTAATTTAACACCGAGTATTACACAATAATATCATAATATAATCCATATTCCAATTTTCAAGTTATTCCAGTAAATTCCTTTGTACTTTTAGATTCAGAATTTGATTAAGGATTGCATATTGCATCTAGTTGTCATTTTATCTAGAACAGTTTATGTAGAACAATTCCTAAGTCTTTCTCTTCTTCTTTTTTTCCTTTTCCATGGCATTGACATTTTTGAGGAGTCTGGGCCCATTATTTCCTAGAGGCCCCTAGCAGAATCCCTCTGCAAAAGAGGAAGACATGCTTCTGATCTCCATCACTATTGACTGGTTTTGGTGCTTTGGGGTTGTCACATAAATGGAATCATATTTCCTTATATCTGCCTTCTTTCTCAACATATGCTGTGGTGTTTACCTACATTGTTTTCCAAAGCACTTATGCCAGTTTTCACTCCCATTAGCAAAGTGCAAGAATCCCAGTTCCTTTCACATCCTTGCCACTGTTTGGTGTTAGCCATTGTCTTAATTCTGACCATTCTGGATGAGTGCAACAGTACCTTATTATGTTTTTAGTTTGCATTTTCTTGATGACTAATGATGTGGACCACCTTTTACTTTAACAAAAGTTCTTAATATTGAGGAAGTTCAATTTATCATTCTTTTATGTTTAGTTATTTTTGTGTCCTGATTTTAAAATCTGCCTACTGCAGAACATAAAGATTTGTTTTTTTTTTTTAAGAAGCATAGTTGGTATAGCTTTTGCATTTTGTGATCTACCTAGAATTTTGTGTCTAATATGAAGCAGATTCAAGATTCTCCCCTTCTTCACTGTGGTAGTATGGATGTCCAGCTAACTTTGTACCATTTGTTAAAAAGACCATTGTTTCCCAATTGGTCAAAATGTGCTTTTGTCATAAATAAGATGATAGTGTATTTCTTGAGTTTGTTTCTTAACACTCAGTTATGTTCCATTTGTCTGTTTATCTTTAGATTAGTTTCATACTCCCTTAAATATTGTAGCTTTGTAAGTTTAGTATCTTATAGTGAAAATCTCCAACTTGTTCTTCAGTGTTGCCTTAGTTATTCTAGGTCCTTTGTGTTTCCATACATTTTAGAATGAGCTCATCTCTACTTTTCTCTTCTCTGATACATACAGAACCTGCTGGGATTTAATTGTGATTACTTTGAGTCTCTAGATAAATTTAGGAAGAACTGACATCCTAAATATATTGAGTCTTCCAATCCATAAATGTAGGTGTATTTCCTCATTTCCATCTGTCAGCTTTAATTTTTCCCAGTCTACTTTAATTTCTCCCAGCAGTGCTTTGCAACTTTGTATCTCACTTGTCTTTTATTAGAGTAATTCCTAGGTATTTAGTTTTTTGATTTTTATTTTTTGTTGTTGTTGTTTTTGTCCTATTCTTGGTTCTTGTGATATGTTCGTTTAGTCTTTGAGTACTTTCTTTCTGCCATAATAAGTATCTCAGGATTGCGATACTTTTCTTCTCAGATATAGAATTACCTGTTTTCTCAATTTTAGAGAGAAATGGTATTTAGTCTACAATTTGGGTAAGAAGCAGTTCCAACTCCTCAGATATTAGTCATTTCTATATGCTGGCAACTTTTATACCCTTCTGGTTATTTTGAAATATATCATAGATTGTTGTAACGAATTGTTACCCTACTTCTAGTAATTGCATTAATAGGTATATATTCAAAGGCAATGGAATCATTATTTTGAAAAGAGATATCTGTATTCCCATGTTCACTGCAGCACTATTCACAGAAGCCAAGATGTAGAATCAACCAAGGAATCCACTAAGAGACGAATGAAAAAGGAAAAAGTGGTATATATATTTACTTGGTGTTAAGACTTTTGTGGCTCTTTCTTAGTAATGTTTTTATCACCTCCACGTTTTGCTATTTGTGTAGTTTGTTTTTTTATACACCTTTTATGTGTGAAAAGCACTTCTTACATGATTTTTCTTACTTAGCAAATTTAGGTACAATGTCATACACTCTGACCATTCTTTTTGCAGTGTACCCGTGTGATGTGGACACCACCTCTCCGTGAAAGCTTCTCATATCCATTTCTTGTGCTTCAGATGTTGCTTGTGACTCATATTCTCAGGTAATTTTGAGTTATCCTTAAATAACTTAAACTAGAATTTCTTTTTTTAAAACTAATATTTCTTAAGTTTTCTTAATAAAAATCAATCTAGTAAGTTAAGATAATCCTTTTATGTTGAATTAGTAAAGACATCTTAAGAGTATGAATTTTTAGAACCAAAGACATTCCCTCTGCCTTCCCTCTGGTCATCTCCCTTTTCTTAGTGGTCCACAGTGACTGTTGAAGGAGAGCAGATACACTTTCAGTTCCTCATCTTTATTTCCTAAGTCTCTTACCATTATAGCCTCCCACAAATGGCAGGTGGAAGGGATAGGTGGTTGTACTCGACTCTAATTCTGTGAAATATAGTCCTTTGGAACAAGGTAACATTCCAAGAGTTGTTGTGATCAGGTAGAATGACACATATAATTTGTCTTCCTACATCCCTGAGAATCATGGTAGGAGTAGAAATAAACCCTCTCAGTAGACCAAAGATAAGCTAGGAGAGAGAATTAATTCCTACTAGAAATCCAGGATAAGTTTAGGCTTTCCCATGTTCATCTGGCCTTCAAGCTGGAGACAGATTCAAGCACCTCGGTAGGACTGAGAACAGTTCCCCTGTTGACAGATTCTGAGGTTTGATATATGTGGCTTTTCTCCTGAAGGTAAATATAAAACAAAATTGAGCCCATGAAAAGAATAGAACAGAACATGATAAAAATCTGCAGCTGTCTTATACTTAAGAAAGGAGCAGAGGCAGAAGAAAAGCAGGACTAGAGACTTACCCAGTGAGGGTAAACCTTTGATTCTTCTCACATCCCTACTCTGATCTGACCTGAGGAGGCTATGAATGCTGTTGTGCTAGGTGCTGAGCTCTGTTTCCTTCAATCCATCCGTACCATGGAAGGCTGTGTTAGCTTCTTACTGCTATGGGAAAAATTGTCACCAAATAAGACTTATTTCTTTATTGTTCTATAGGTCAGAGGTCCTAAACTCAAGGTGTTAGGTGTTAGCAGGGCCTCCTCCTGGAGACTCTGAGAGAGAACCAGTTCTCTTGTCATTCCAGCTTTTAGTGGAGTCCTGCATTTCTTGGCTCTTGTTCCCTTCCATTGTGAAAGCCAGCAAAGGAGGGCTGAGGTCTTCTCCTATCAGTTCACTCTAACCTTCTCTGCTGCCTCTCATTCCGTTTAAGAACTCTTGTGATTATCTTGGGCCCCTGGATAATCCTGATAATCTCCCTCTCTTTAGGTCAGGTGGTTGGTTGTCTCAGTTCCATCTGTAGCCTTAGTTCCCTTTGCAGTGTCTTATAACATACTTACCAGTTCCAGGGATCAGGAGGGAGGCTTTTTTTTTATTATGATATATTCATTGTACAGGGGCAATTCATTGTGATATTTCTGAATAGCTTTATATTGTATATTGGTTAGGTGGCTCCCACCATCACACACACACCCCCCCTGCCATCCTACTTAAAGCAACTTCTTTTCATTTCGTTTCTTTTGCTTTCATTGTTCTGTTTGTGTATGTGGAGCCCATCAATCATATTCCCTCACCTTCACATCCTGCATTCACCTTCCTCCATCTAACAAGTATTTTACAGTTTTGTCTTGCATTATTAATTTGAAAGTCAGGGGTTTCTCTGTGTATCTCCGCTTTGAGTATACTTTGGCCAGTTTAAAACATTATTCTCTCTTACCCCTTCCTTCTCTCAGTGCCCTTTGTTACATAGGTGGGAGATACGTTTGGAAGCCATTATTCTGCCTATCACAGTGAGGCTGCTTCAGTTGCTTCTGTTTGCCTTTAGGGACTACTTTCTGTTGGGTTCTTCTCAGATGTGTTCTCCAGGTGCTTCTGTGCTAAGCTCTTTGTTGTCTTTACCGTCTAGAGAAGTCATTGTCATTTTCATCATCATTTGCCTCCTCATCCCTATTTGGTTTTTACTGAAGGTTTTATGGACTTTCCTTTTTCTCAGTCTTCTCTCTCTGTCTCTCTGTGTCTCTCGCTCTCTCTTTAAAATCCTAGATGACATCTTCTTTCTCATATTTCTGGTTATACTGCTTCTACCACTGCTGGTTAAAATTCATCATTCTCCTAATCCCCTGACCATCTTCCACTTCACTTTTTTCACTGTCACCTCATCACTTCTTATGGGGACAGCATTCCTGTTTTTCTTCCTGTTGGCATGACTCCCTTCTTGCCAACTGTGGCTACTACTGTGGCTGGTGTCACTGCTTGCTGGAAGTGTGGTGGCTGCTTTCATTTTGCATGAGTTAACAGCTGTGCTTTTGGAAGCTACAGTCTTTAGAGCTGGGGAAACCACATCCTCATTTTCTGAAGTTGTGCAGACTTGTGCGTTTCTGCTGAAAGATAACAACCTGGTCTCTGCTGGTCCTTGACACCTTCTAATTTGTCATCCTTATCATCAACTCCTGGCTCCTTTGGAAGACTAACATTTCCTTAGTTCTGGTTCTACCTGTAGTAAACCCCTGGTAATCCTAAAGGAAGGTAGTGAGCGAATGTTTTGGATGGACAAAGATGCAGCTGAGCAGTGTCAGTCAGTGTGGCAGACTCAGGACTGAGAAAGCTGTAACAAAATTGGACAGGTGACCACTCCTGTTAATGCTTGGAATCATTTATAAATAAGGTTAGTAGTATATTTTATTTCAAGTTGATTTTGTGTAGCTTTAAATTTTAAGTATTTTTAAAGATTCACCTAATATCTATAACAACATGGTGTTAGCCTTTTCCTGAGTTTTGTTCTTGGTAATATGTGTGTTCCCATTTCTCTTATCTTGTATATACTTCCTATTTGTTCTTATCTACCTCAAGTGCATTTTGTATCCAATTAACAATCTAGTATGAAATTCTATTGCAAGACCTTCAACATCCTTCGTTACCTCTAAAGTGAAAATCATGCTTAGTCAAAAGCAGTAGAAAAATGGTTTATTTTAGATGATGGTTTTCAAACTTTTTGACTGTGATCTGTAAGAAATAAATTTTATACTGTGTCCAAGTATGCACATACATGTGTGCACACAAGCATTCAATAGAAACAAAACTTTCACAGATTAGAACTCTTGTTAGGTAGGATGCAGTCAGGTAAATTCTGAATCACTCTGTGTAGCTCCATTAAAAAAGCATTGGGTTTCAAGCTGTGTGTTGTGGCTCACACCTGTAATCCTAGCTGCTTGGGAGACAGAAGTCAGAAGGGTTGCACTTCAACGCTAGCTGAAGGAAATGTTCAGACCCCATCTTAACTAGTGACTGGACATGGTGGTGCACTTCTGTCATCTGAGCTAGGCAGGAAGAACAAATAGGAAGATTGGGGTCCAGGCTAGCTTGGGCCTAAAGGAAGATTCCCATCTCACAAATAACTAATGCAAAAAGGGCTGATGGAATGACCTAGCAAGTGTGAGACCCTGGGTTCAACCCCCACCTTCCCAGTACTACAAAAAAAAAAAAAAAAGTACACGATTGAAGCTGATTAATTGATTTTGTAATTCATTAGTAGACTAGCTGGAATTTTAAAATATTTGAGTGGGATTAGAATAGCAGGGAGGGTTGTCATTTGGGAACAGGATAGTTGAGAAGTAAAGAAAGACATTTCATGGTGGTGCCATGAATGGGTTTATCCTAAGGACAATTTCTTTATCCTGCCCAGGCTTCCCACCTTGTCACCTTGGGATGTTAGCATGCACACTCGGCTTTGGTGAAAATGCTGGGTATGTGTAGAGGCTTTGCAGTACTTCAAAGCTACAGGAGAAAATGTAAATCACCTCGCTTTCCTGAAAATTTCATAATCAACAAGTCAGTCTTGCCATGAAGCTTCCAGGGTGGCCCCAGAACAGCCCCCACCTTTGCCTCCACTTCACTTTTCTATGTCCTGAGTGCACATGACCAACTTTTATTCCACACCTCACCAGATCTCCCACAAATGCTCACCCCTTATAGTGAATTCCTGTAGTACTTGTCTACCTATTACTTAGCACTTTGATTATACTGTTTTCTGTCATTTTTTCATAGACATTCTCTGTCTTGCTAACTAACGAATCTATGGAATCAGCATTAAAAAAGGTCTTATAGCTACTGGGCGTGGTGGTGCATACCTGTAATCCAACACTCTGGAGGCTGAGGAGGGAAGGAAAATTGCGAGGCTAACCTATGCTGGATGGTGAAACCCTGTATCAAAAATAAAACAAAGTCTGATTAGGAGTTCACCAAACATCATATAAAAAAAATTAGTATTATACTGACCTGGCCTCTCTCCCTCTTTTTAGCAGGGTTTCATGTTTTTACAGTAATAATGAGTATTTACTTTCCAGACAAAATTGTTGTAATTGAGTGTCAGGAGGTATAATTTCTAACCCAGTGATTAATTTTGTGTTCAGTTTATGTTGCAACCAGACCATGTGTGAGATTCTAATTTGCAGAAGTTTGGAGGCATGCTAGACTACTTTGTGGCTACATTTAACTACTATTTATTTTGTCTCTTCAAGGGCTACAAAGCTTTATAGAGGGAGCTTGATTGCACTTTGCATTTCCAATGTATTTTTCATGCTGCCTTGGCAGTTTGCTCAGTTTGTACTTCTCACTCAGGTAAGGTGATTGTATTTTTACATTGATTTAAGCTTAGTGTCTTTTTTTATGCAAACTTACTTGTATAAAATTGTAACTGAAATGTTGCATTCTAGGTCCTAAAGCTTTTCTAATGAATGATTTTAAGGAAAGTTCAGAGTAGAGAGAGATGTGAAGTTTATTTATTAATGAATATTAGTAATTTACTTGCTAGTAGCATTTATTGAAGTCAAATTTGTAAGAATACTTATCTTTGGCATTCAGTACTGGTGCTTAAGAGAGATCTATTCTGAATTGTTAAATATTTCTCCTAAGTAAGCTGTGTTTCTTTTATGAATTACTGCCTTATGTTTGTATGTGTAGGATAAATATCCTGCTTATTAGCAGGATAAATAGCTAATAAGTTCTTATTTTATGTATTCCACTCCCCCCACCCCTTCACCCCCGTCTGCAGCTTATCATCTTTCCATGTACTCTTGTCTCCCTTCAGATAGAGGTACCTACAGCAAGGTAGACTGTTGAGGGGGGAGTGTATTGTGTGCTCAGTTTTTTCCCCACCCTCTTTTTCATTATACTCGTCATATCTGTAAAATAGTTGATGAATGGTTTTTTGATGTTCTTTGGAATATCTTCCTTCAGAAATGAAGTCAGACTTGGATATAAGTAACTAGCTTCTTGACTTGAACAAAAAACTTAACTTTTCCTTGTTCTAGTTTTCTTACTCTTAAAATAGAGAAATAAAAGAACCTGCTTTAATGTTTTGTCCTTAGGATCAGACTCTTAGCACAGTACTCTGCATGGTGGGATACCACTTTAGCTGCCTTTATCATTATTTTTAAAATAGTCTTGATTTGTACTTATTTATTCCTTTGATCTTATCTTTTAGACTCCATTGTCTTTTTAATTTGATAGCATTTTGAATCTGTTTTGGGTTTAAATTGTCTCTGAGGTTCTGTTTTTAAGATTCTACCCTGTAAACGTGCTGTATGTGTTTAGGCCCTGGGGCAAAAGACATCTTCCCTAGTGCTTATGGTTAGTGGAGATGGCCTGTTTATGAGGAGCAGGGCTGGGGAAGAAGGAAGGAGGTATGCACTGCCTTTCTGTGGGGCATAGGTGAATAACAACACAGGCTTTTCACTGTGCCCTGGCTGTCTCTCTGAAGCAGTGCAAACTTCCCCATGGGTAACTGGAGGAAAGGAGGAAAAGTGTTTTCTTATTAATGGGGAAAATTTGCTGTAAATTATTTGAGATTTAAAAAAAAATACTAAATGGAACTTAAATTATATTTTAACTATTTAACTGTTGTGCAATTTCTCTGTGCTATGTGTAGTAGGAAAGACATAGAATTTCATTTGAATGACTTTCTCTATGAACGAGGGTGGAGAGGTGTTGTCAGGCAAAATCCTTTTTATAAGAGGTACAGTATCATCCTGTGGTGAATTAATCCATCTAAAACAAATTCCTCACAATGGAAGAGAAAGTTAAAATACCTTCGTATGAAAGTACTCCTTCTAATATGAAATTTGATAAATTCGATTAAAACTAGCAGGTGAATACGTGTATCAATGAAGCATAACACTAATGGAGAGTCTTGTGAACAGCAACTGACAAGTAGAGATTAATATATTTTTACATAAATATGCATTGGCTAATTATTTTAGAGCTTAATGTACCTTTCCCAGTTGTGTATTAGTGGTCATGTTATAATTATGTTTTTATATTTTTTGATTAAACAGGGTACTTATTAATTGTACACGCTGACAGAGTCAACCTGATATTAAAATGAGTGCTATTTTGCATAATTCACAAAGTAGATAATTCACATGGTTGATTCAGAGAGCTGTATAAGGGAGAGAAAAATCTAACAAGATTTGTTATATTATTGATATTTTCATCATATTCAATAATAAATTGGTAGAGAAAAAAACTAAAGAAATCACTTTCTAGGTAAATATATATCAAACTGAAACAATAAAGATAACCTTTATTCTTACAGTTATTCAGTTTATATATGTGATTTTATTTTTTAACATAATTCCTTTTTAAATTTCAGATTGCATCATTATTTGCAGTATATGTTGTGGGCTACATTGATATATACAAATTACGGAAGATTATTTACATACACATGGTAATTTTTTTATTGTTTTCCTTTTACTGTGACCTTAAACTCCTGATTTGTTCATTGTTGAAATGAGTTGTAACATGATTCCACAGCGAAGACAAGTGTCAGTCAAACACTATGATAGGGTCGGCAGATCTTGTTTTAAATAGAGCACCCAGAAAATTTTAATTTGGGTCTTACCTAATTATGGTTGTCCACAACCTGTACATAATTGGTAAAAGACATTCATGAAAGAGAAACATGGTGTGGTATGTTGTTCATCTGTAGAGCTGTCTGTTAACATGAAGTGGAGTGCTCACTCACTTGGCATCCAGCACATGGGACACGCCAGCGACTAGAGCTGTAGAGACCCCAGCATTCATGTTGCTGGTAGAGCAGAGGAGGGAAGACAGGATAGCGAGTGTACTTAAGGTGTAAGTTATACAGCATGTTAGAGGGTGATAAGAATTAAAGAATAAAACAAGTCAGGGTAGGGCACATTAGGAGTATAACATCAGGGGGTAGATGATGGAGGTGTCAAATGACCGTCAGGACAAGTTTTGAGGAGGGAATTGGGCAAAAATTAGAAGAAAGACAGGAAGTGGCTGGTAGATACCACAGGGAGGAATGTTGTAGGTAGGTGGTATGCTACAGCATGAACTAGTTACTTCATGTTGATGCATGTTTATCCTTCGAAAACAGTTACCGTCTTTCTGTCATTAATTTTTAAATGTTATTTAGTTGCTTTCTTTTTGTATAATGTTATTGTTGTATGCCATGGTTACTTTTTATTCTCTAATAATTGATACATATAAAAGGATATTTAAGTATAGGGAGGTTATAAATTAAGTTACTAAATTAACAGCCATGAGCCTGCTTTCTAAACAAAATATAGTCTTTGAGTCCAGTGTGCCTTAAAAAGATCCCCTCACCTATCCTAGATGTAACCACTATCCTGACTAAATTATCATTGACTTGCTTTCCTTCATAACTTTTTACTATGTGTGTATCCCAAATAAAGAAAAACTTTGACTTAAATATTAGCATAGTTTTTAAGTTTTTTACAAATAGTGTCGTAGCAGTATGTAACAGCTCATGTTACTCTGTATTTTTCATTTGTCAGTCTGGGTGGTATGAAATGGTATATGTGACCCTGATTAAAATTTTTCTGATTCTCAATAAAGCTGAGCATCTTTTGGTGTGTTTATGCACCCTTCATGTTTCCATTTTTGTGATATTCCTAAAAATCTCTTACTGATTGTTCTCTTATATCCAACAGAAAATAGCATCTATTTTATTCAGAGCAGTATAACTCATTTTCTTCATTATTTCTGTTGTTGCTCATATTCTTTCAGGTTTGCCCTACTATTCAGGGTTGCTTTTCTGTCATTTTAACATGATTTTGTCATGCTTTGAGTACTTTTTAAAAGACATTGATAAATACTAAGTTTCATAATGCTTTTTGTCATCTACTTAGATGATCCTATGTATTTTTTAATTTTTCCTCTTCAGTCTGTTACCATGGTCATTAGCATTAATTGATTTTTCTAACATTAAAAACATTGCTTTTCTGGACTAAACAACTTTTATATAATGCTGGATTCAATTTATTTCTGTAGGATTTCTATATTTTTTCATGAATGGTGTAGACTACTTTTTTTTAACTTTGGGGTACAAATCAAATGTTAGCATTCAGAATTGGGCAGTCACAGAGTTATATATTATATGACTGAGGGCTTTGACTCAAAATTATAGTTGTAAAAGCACTGAAATAATAGGATTCAGTTTATAGTAAAACCTCTTTTGGGTAAATACTAATGCCTTATGATGGGGTAATAACAATTCTCTATCTTCTTCCACTATCACTTTATTAATTACCAAATTCTCATAGGTACATAAAATATAGAATTGTCTCCAAAGAATTTTTTTCCCATTTTTATTGTGGTAAAACACGTGTAATAAAATTCGCCATCTTTCTTTTTAGCTTCATAGTTAAGTGATATTAAGTACATTGCTATTGTTTTGCAACCATCACTACCATCTGTCTTCAGAACTCTTCATCTTGCAAAACTGAAACTGTATGTATTAAGCAATAGCTCCATATTTTTCCATTTTCCCAGCTTCCAGGAACCACCCTTCTAATTTTCTGTTCTACGCTTTTGAATACCTTATCTATGTCATGTAAGTGGAATTACATAGCATTTGTCTTTTACAGACTGGCTTTATTTCACTTGGCACAATGCTTTCAACTTCATTCCGTGTTATAGAATGTGTCAGAATTTCCTTCCTCTATAAGGCTGAACAGTATTCATTCTATTTTTTACATATGTACCACATTTTGTGGATCTGTTCGTCTGTTATTATCTCTTGTTTGCTTCCAAATTTTAGTTACAGTAAGTAATGCGTCTATAAACATGAGTGTCAAACATATCTTGAGAACTTGTTTTCCATTCTTTTTATGTTACCAGAAGTACAATTTCTAGACTGATCATGTGGTACGCCTATTTTTTTGTTTTTGGTACTGTTTTTCATACCAATGGTACCATTTTACATTCTCACCAAGAGCGCACAAGGTTCTAAGGTCGCCATATCATCACCAACTTTTATTTTCTGCTTTTTAAAAAAATTATTGTTATAGCCATCCTAATGTCTATGAGTAGTATCTCATTATGGTTTTTGCTTACTTTTTTTTTTTTTAAATTAAGACTATTTTGTAGATGAGTTTTAGCAAAATTGAGCAGAGGGCACAGTTTCGTATGCCTCCTACTCCACTCATGTATAATCTTCCAACTATCGATATCCTGCACCAGCCTGGTATATTTTTTAAAACTGATAAGCCTACATTGACACATGGTATTATGCATTCAGTAGGTGTTCGTGATATATAATGACACATATCCACCATTCATAGTATCATACAGAACAGTTTCACAACTCTAGAATTCCTCTGTGTTCTGCCTATTAAACCCATGCTACTCCTAATAATCAGTGATACTTTCACTATTTCTGTAGTTTTGCCTTTTGCAGAGTATCATATACTTGGCATCATACAGTATGTTTTCGAGTCTTTTTAGGTTGGTTTCTTTCACTTACTAAAGTCTTTTCCAGGCTTGATAGCTCATTTCCTTATAGCTCTGTATAGCATTTCGATTGTATGGATGTGTCACTGTTTATTCATTCACCTGCTGAAGGACATTTTGGTTAATTCCAAGTTTTGGCGGTAATGAATAAAGCTGCTGTAAACATTTGCCAGCAGGTTTTTATGTAGACATAAGGTTTAAATTGATTTGGATAAGTACCAAGGAGAGTGGTTGTCGGATTGTATGGTGAGAATACATTTAGTTTTTAGGAAATTGCCAACTGTGTTTAAAAGTGGATGTACCATTTGCATTCCCATCAGCAATGAATGAGTGTTCTTGCTGCTCCACATCCCCATCAGCATTTGGTGTTGTCACTACTTAGATTTTGGCCATTCTGATAGTACTGTGGTGATATCTTATTGTTTCAGTTTGGTTGCACATCTTTTCATATGCTTATCTGCCATCTGTTTATCTCACTCGTTTTGACAGTAGTGGGGATTGAATTCAGGGCCTTATACTTGCTTGATAAGCACTTTACCACTTGAGCCACGCCCCTAACCTTTTTTGCTTTAGTTTGTTTTTTACCAGGGCCATCCTTAGACCATGATCCTCCTACCTCTGCCTCCCAAATAGTGGAGATTATAGTTATGCACTATTATGCCTGGCCCTATATATCTAATTCAGTGTGGTGTCTGCTATGGGTTTGTCTTTTTTTTTTTGCTACTTTTTCATTTGATTGTTCATTTGTTGAGTTTTAAGAATCCTTTGTATATTTTAGAGAAGACTTTCACAAGATATGTCTTTTACAAATATTTTCTCCTGTTTTATATCCTGCTTTCTTACTGTCTTGACATTTTCTTTTACAGAGTAGGAGTCTTTCATTTTCATGCAATCCAGCTTATCAGTTGTTTCATTCCCAATTACACTTTTGGTGTTCTGTCTAAGAAGTGATTATCATACCTAAGACTATCTAGGTTTCCGCCTAAGTTAACTTCAGGGAGTTTGCAGTTTTGTGATGTACATTAAGGTCTCCATGGTCTATGTTGAGTTAATTTTGTGCAGGGTGTAAGGTCTGTGTGTCAGCTGATTTTTTTTTTTTTTGGCATCTGTTATAACTATTTGTTGAAAGACTATTTTTGTTCCATGGCATTGCCTTTGCTCCTTTGTCAAAGATCAGTTGACTGTGTTTATGTGGGTCTATTTCTGGACTCTGTGCTTTGTCTTACTGACCTATTTGTTTATTTGTTCTATTGTCTATTCTTTCACTAATGCCACACTGTCTAGCTTTATAGAAAGCCTTAAAATCAAATACCGTCAGTCTTGTGACTTTATTCTACTTCAGTACTGACTTCTGGGTTTTTTTAAGTCTCCATATAAACTTTAGAATTATTCACAAAAAACTGCTGGGATAATGACTGGGATCATGTTCACTCTTAGGTCAAGTTGGAAAGAACTGATATCTTGACAATATTGCATTGTCCTATCCATAAATATGGACTGTCTCTTCATTTACTTAGCTCTTATACTTTCATCAGCATTTTTTTTTTTTGTTTTGGTGGTATTGGGGCTTCGTGCTTGCTAGGCAGGTGCTCTGCCATTTGAGCCACTCTATCAGCCACCATTTTACAGTTTTCTTTGTAGATTTAGCATATTCATTCTTTTTGAGTACTAATTATAATGACAATGTATTATTAATTTCAAATTTCACTTTATTCATTACTGGTATATGGGAAAGTAATTGACTTTTGTCAATGACTTGTATCCAACCTTTAGAGAAAGGAACTAATAAATTCCTTATTAATTCCAAAAGCTCTTTGTTGATTGTTTTAGATATTCTTTGTAAGTAATCATGTCACCAGCAGACAGTTTAATTTCTTTTTCTTCAGTGTTACACTTGTTGTTTCCTTTTCTTACTGTATTATCCAGGGCTGTAGGTACACTGATGAA